CTTCAAACTGTGATTCTCAGATCTCTGCCTCTGGAATATAGCTAGGATTACTGGCTGAGTTCATTTCTTTTTACCTTTTTTCTTTGATATCTAGTTCATGCAAATAGGGGTTTATTCCTTTATCTCTTGGAACATTCTCAGCCTCATTTCTCTATCCAGTGTGCTGTTATATTTTAGCTGTAGTCATTTGTTATTGTGCTGTTGGCTCATTCCTGTGGAAATATATTTCCCTGTATTTTTTTTTCTGCTTCATTTTCCCAATGGTGATCATCCAGGGGAGCACCATATGTGAGTTCTAGAGTCTGGGTGTCCCTGCAGAGTAGTTTAGCTTTTACTCAGCCCATTGGGACTCCTAGATCCCAACTATGTTATTAAGTAATTAAAAAAATCTCATCAGAGCGGGGTGCCAGTGGCTCATGCCTGTAATCCTAGCTACTCAGAAGGCTGAGATCTAAGGATCTCAGTTTGAAACTAGCTCAGGCAGGATAGTCCATTGAGACTCTTATCTTCAATTTACCACCAAAAAGCTACCAGTGAGCCACCTTCCCAGCCCCATTTGCTAGTTTTTGTAGACACTTTTTCAGGATGGGTTGAAGCCTATCCAACAAAGCATGAGACCACAAAAGTCGTGGCTAAGAAGATCCTGGAAGAAATCCTACCCAGGTATGGCTTCCCATCCACCATTGGGTTGGACAATGGGCCGGCCTTTGTCTCAAAAGTAAGTCAGGGAATAGCCGCGGCACTAGGAACAGATTGGAAATTGCACTGTGCTTATAGACCCCAGAGTTCAGGGCAGATAGAATGAATCAGACTCTAAAAGAGACCTTAACTAAATTGGCCTTGGAGACGGGCACAGACTGGGTATCACACCTTCCTTTTGCTCTGTTTAGAGTAAGAAATTCACCCTATCAGCTTGGCTTCACTCCTTTTGAAATAATGTATGGACACCCTCCACCCATTATCCCTAGCCTTCAGACTGAATTGCTTGCTGATTTAGATGATACTGAATTTCTGTGTAAGCTTGACTGTTTACAGCTGGTACATAAGAGTATGTGGCCCCAGCTTAGAGCATTATATGATTTTGCTTCTATTCCTACCCCCTATTTGTTTAAACCAGGGGACTGGGTGTTTGTTCGAAGGCACAACTTGAGATCTCTGGAACCACAGTGGAAGGGACCTTACATGGTGCTACTGGCTACACCTACTGCCCTTAAGGTGGACGGCATTGCTGCTTGGATCCACTGCTCCCACGCCAGACTGGCTGACCCCTTTGCCCTGGACCGTGGGGAAACATGGGAAGTCTCCAAGCATCCTACCCAACCACTCCACATACGCCTCAAGAAGAGAAAAATGGACTGATTGTTATTGGTATACCTGTTCAAGATCAAGTTTAGTTTTGGGCCGGAGCCACAAGATTGTGTCTCAGGACCATAAGTCAAGGGGAGGGGGAGTAGGGAATAAAGGGTTAAAGTACTTGAGGCAGTGACCATTTGTTGCTTGTTTCAGAGCAGAGCAACACGTGGTGCTAAACCACCTGGTTGTGTGCCTTTATAAGACCTGCAAATCCTTAGCTCGGGGCTCTCCTCCTGGGCTCCGCTGTGTTGGAGCTACAGCCCGTTTAAATAAAACAGCTGTAGAGTCTAACTCTCGGTGGTCTTCTTGGTGGGGGTCCTGTGACCTTGGCATAACAGTGGCACTGTGGCTCAAGTGGTAGAGCGCTAGCCTTGAGCTGAAGAGCTGAGGGACAGTGCCCAGGCCCAGAGTTCAGGCCCCACAACCAGACCCAAAAAACAAAACAAAAATTTAATATAGGATGATGGAAATGTGTGTGGAAGAATAAAATCTAAGTATAGGAAAAAATACATTAAAAAAAGTTTAGCCTGTGTTAAGATGCTAGGGTCAGGCCAGGTGCTGGTGGCTCACTCCTGTAATCATAGCTACTTAGGAGGCTTAGATCTGAGGACCACAGTTTGAAGCCAGCCTGGGAAGGAAAGTCCATGAGACTCTTTCTCCATTAAATTACAAAAAAATAAAGAAAGAGAAAAAGAAAAAAAAAGCTGGGAGTGGCGCTGTGACTTAAGTGGTAGAGTGCTAGCCTTGAGCAAAAGCAGCTCTGGGACAAAAGAAAAAAAAAAAAAGCTCAGGGACAGCGCCCAGGCCCAGGCCCAGGCCCAGAGCTCAAGCCCCAGGACCATTAAAAAAAAAAAAGAGAAGAAAAAGAAAAAAAGATTCGAGAGTCAGTCTTTAGAAGCATCAAAAAATAGGCAGCAAATTTCAAGAGAATTAAGTTCATTTTTTTAAAAAAGCCAATTATTGGCTGGGAAGGTGGCTCAGTGGTAGAGTGCTTGCCTTGCATGCCTAAGGCCCTGGGTTCGATTCCTCAGCACCACATAAGAAAAAAGAAAGAAGCCGGAAGTGGCGCTGTGGCTCAAATGGTAAAGCGCTAGCCTTCAGCTGAAGAGCTGAGGGACAGTACCCAGGCCCAGAGTTCAGGCCCCATGACCAGACCCAAAAATAAATAAATAAAATAAAAAATTAAAATAAAAAAATTAAAAAGCCAATTATGTATGGGACCCTCTATTATGAAGTACATTTTCAGTGGTGACAATTTAAGTCACAGTCCCCTCTGCAAAAGTAACCTTACATTACCAGTTTATGCAAGAACAATTGACAAGTGGGGTGCGGATGGCTCATGCCTATAATCCTAGTCAGGAGTCTGAGACTTGCGGATTGCAGTTCAAAGCCAGTCCTGGCATAAAAGTTCTTTTGAGACTCATTTCCAAGTAACCACTCAAAAACTGGAAGTACTACTGTGGCTCACAGTGGTAGAGCATTAGCCTTAAGCTATAAAATAGCTCAGGGATAGTGTCCAGATCCTGAATTCAAGCCCCACAACCAACAATAAATAAATAAATAAAATACATTGCCAGTTAGTGAGGGCTTTTAAAATGGTAGGTCTTACCTGTAATTCTAACTACTTAAGAGGCTGAAATCTAGGGGATCATGGTCAGGAAAGTCTGATTTTTTTTTTTTGGTCGGTCATGGGGCCTTAACTCTGGGTCTGGGCGCTGTCCCTCAGCTCTTCAGCTTAAGGCTAGTGCTCTACCACTTGAGCCACAGTGCCATTTCTGGCTTTTTCTGCTTTTATGATGCTGAGGAATCAAACCCAAGGCCTCATGCATGCAAGGCAAGCACTCTACCACTGAGCCACCTTCCCAGCCCCCAAATTGTCAGCCATGGGGCTTAAACCAGAGCGCTGTCCCTCAGCTCTTTAGCTCAAGGGGAGCGCTCTACCACTTGAGCTGCTGCGCCACTTCCGGTTTTCTGGTGGTTTATTGGAGATAGGGGTCTCACGGTCTCTCCAGCCCGGGCTGGCTTTGAACCGCGATCCTCAGATCTCAGCCTCCTGAGTAGCTAGGATTACAGGGGTGAGCCACCAGCGCTCGGCTCCAACTTTTTTTTGTTTTTTTGGCTTGGTACCTGTCATGGGGCCTGAACTCAGGGCCTGGGCGCCGTCCCTGAGCACCTTTTGGTCAAGGCTAGCTCTCTACGCCTTGAGCCACAGCTCTACTTCCATGAGACTCATCTCCAATTAACCAACAGGAAACTCGAAGTGTCTGAAGAGCTCAGGGACAATGCCCAGGACAAGTTCAAGTCCCATGCTGGATGGAAAAAAAAAACCTAAAAGCAGAGCTGGTAGCACCCAAGCCCAAGTTCAAGCCAAGAGCAACACCAAAAAAACAAAAACAAAATACCCCCACCATATACACAAAAACTGGGCTGGGGGCTGGGAAGGTGGCTCAGTGGAAGAGCGCTTGCCTTGCATGCTTAAGGCCCTGGGTTCGATTCCTCAGCACCACATAAGCAGAAAAAAAAGCCAGAAGTGGCGCTGTGGCTCAAGTGGTAAGAGTGCTAGCCTTGAGCTGAAGAGCTGAGGGACAGCGCCCAGGCCCAGAGTTCAGGCCCCATGACTGGACAAAAAAAAAAAAAACTGGGCTGGGAGTACAAGGTTAAGTCCTAGTACTGGCCAAACGAGGTAGAATGGAAATATGTAGTAGGCTTGGTCACAGTAGCTTCATTATTATCTGTGTGACTGATTAGGAAATACTAAATGTGAAATTCTGGCAATCACTTGAGTTGCTCAGTATTTTATCAACTGTTATTAAATGCCTATGTTGATGTCAAACCACTAAATATTTCATCTAACATCATAGAGCAACTTTTCCTTGTACCAGTACTGGGGCTTGGAAGTCAGGGCCTGGGCACAGTCTCTTTACCTTTGCTCAAGGTTAGTGCTCTACCACTTAAGGCATACGCCCACTTCTGGCTTCTGGGTGGTCAGTTGGAGGAATATCACGGACTTCTTGCCCAGGCTGGTTTTGATGCACAATTCTAACATCTCAACCTCTAGAAACATGAACAATTGGCACCTGGCTTGTAAGAGGAAGGTTTTAGAAATGTCAAGTCTTGCAGCCTTGGTGGCTCCAGCCTCATTCTTATCCCAAAATCATTCAGACCCCATGAGTCAGAAATAAACATTCTTTGACTGCCTCACCAAAAGGCTTAGACTATATTGTTACTTTGCCTTCATTGAAAACCTTAACATTCAGTACAACACTGCACCTAACCTAGAAATCCTTAACTTTTTTGTCGGTCATGGGACTTGAAATCTGGGCCTGAGCACTGTCTCTCAGCTCAAGGCGGGTACTCTACCAGTGAGCCACAGCACTACTCCGGTTTTCTGGTTGGTTAACTGGAGGTAAGTCTCAGGACTTTTGTGCCCGGGCTGGCTTTGAACCGTGATCCTCAGAGCTCAGCCACCTGAGTAGCTAGGATTACAGGCATGAGCCACCAGTACCTGGCTGAAATCCTTAACATTAATGTTAGCTCTGATCTGACTTTATAGTGTACTCAAGGGTCAAGAAACGTAATTGTTATTCATGAGATGATTATGAATTTCCATTAATTTCTAAATAATCCTATTTCTAGAGACCAAACAATGAATTATTTGGTTAAGATTTTATTGTCATCTTTTGGATAAGGCCCCACCATTCCCTTTAACCACAGCACTGGTTGCAGGTAGTTTTCTGTCTAGTTGATAGGTGCTCACAGGCTTATCAGGAAAAGCAAACTGAAACAGATGGTCACCATCCTTTGTACCAGGAAAATCCTGAAATTTCATAAAAGGAACATCAGAGCCATGAAGACAACCAACAGTAGAAACAAAGATTCAGAGTAATCAGCTGGTTTAGAAAATAGTAAGATTAGTTTGAAGCCAGGCTGGGGAGATAAATGTATTAGACCCAGGATATACACATATCCCAAAGAATTACCACTGAGGCTGAAATACACAAAATTAAGACTCACCACAGCCAGGGCACATACTCCACAACAGTCTGGTGCTGACAGCAGATCACCTAGGCATTCTGGCCATTCCAGGTCTCCCAAGTGGTAGATTTAACATTCAACAGATTTTAGACTTCCAGTCCTCAGGTTACAGCAAAATCTCTACAAAGGGGCACTTCCCCCTTGTGGGCCTCCAGAAACCTCATTCTAGAAAGAATGAAAAGACATTAAGAACTAGCTGGCTAAGTAGTTCTTTGTTAGAGCCTTTGTCTCACATTCAAGAGGCTGTGTTTTATCTTCAACCTTGCAATTAAAAAAAGGCAACACTTCGGCCTTCCCAGAGAGTTGAACCAAGTTCCCTAATTGAGTCAGTATTTCCATTTGACATCAGGACCAGTGTCAGAGACTCTAGTCTGTGAAATCATCATTCCCAATTTAGGGAAACATTCTGGGAAGTCTTACTGTTCAAAGACAACAGCCCTAGAAAAAAGAACCCAAGGGATAGGTCTTGTGTTGGGTGGCTCATACACATAATCCGACTTGTGATTCTCCATTTAAAGCTAGCCCAAGGAAACAAATTATACCCAATTAACCAGCAAAACAGGGATAACTAAATTCAAGCTCCTCACACACACACACACACAAGTTAATTCAGAAAAGGCTAGGGAAAGTTCGAAAAAAAGGCGGAATTAACTCCACACTGCACACATTACTACATTAGTACAACCGAGGTGGGTCACTAACATAATAGGTTCATAATAAAATTAAAGTTGGCAATTAGAAAAACAGGCAGAGGCTAGTTGGGGGAAATAATCGGCAGAAGGCACGTGGAGAGCTCTCCCTCATAGCACTCACCTTTTCTCCAAGGATAACACACCAGCGGGCATCTTAAAACCCCTAAGTGGAGATATAAGACACAATCCCTTAATTAGCAAGGTGTTTCTAGTCACCAGCTTCCCCAAGTCCAGGTCCCAAGAACCGTGTGGCAATCCGAGGGGCAATCAGCGCGCTGCGGTGATGGCGTCAGCGAGACACTCAGAGTCACCAGGAGTCATCATCACCCCCGTCCTCCCCAAAGGTGGCGACCGCTAGCCGTTCCCCAGTTCTCGAAATCACTCGCACCATCTGCTTACCTCCGTGCAGCGGGCCCACCCACGACGATCAAGGCCCTAAGGAAGAAACCAATGGGTCGGCAAGGCGGGAAAGAGTGCCGGCCGGCTTCCCCCCCCAACCCCGGGCCGGGTCAGTTCCAAGGGTGGCGTCACGTGGACATCAGAAACTCTAGTCTGCAATGGTGGTTCATCCCGCTCAGCCCCAGAGCCGTTCCCTGTCTCCCACACCAAGCGGGACCACGAGGTACCTGTACGTGGGACACTGCGCAGAGGTGCGACTCCTTCCCAGTGTATAGCAGACAGACAAAAGCAGATGAACAAGCCCGCTGTACCAAGAGAATCATCTCCGCCGCGCCAGAGGTATTTATAGCCTGGACCACGCCGGGGTCCTGACGGGACGTAGCTATCTTTTCATATGCCTGTCTTGATCCACAACATTTTCCGCATCACACGTCCAAATAGAAATAAAATCAAGTGATAAACTAGGAAAATAGGTTCCACATACTCTGAGCAAACACTCCAGGGGCATTTCAAATGAGTTTTTATTCATAAACATGAATCTCCAGTTTTTTTCTGGCGGGTCAGGCGAGAGAAAGTCTACCCCGTCCCACCCCCCGCCTGAAGGACCCGCGGGCGTGAGACCGGAGCTCTCCGTTCTTTCCCGCATTGGGGCACAGTCCTGGTGGCCTTCGCCTGGCAGTACGCTTCACCCCAGAGACTTTAGTCTCACTATCCAGCAAAATCTTAAATTTGCACCTCGGTTCCTGCCGACCTCATTAACCTTCTTGAGCCTGAAGCTTTATTGGCCAATGTCATGCAATAAGCTGTGTGTATATAAGTTGTACCAATTGTAAAATGGACTGGTGTGTGTGTGTGCAGGGAGAATCTAGACAGTCATGTCCAACTGAACTGCTTGTGGCTGTGTTGACTTTTTTCTTTCCTTTCTTGTATTTGCATTCTGCAATGCACATATTAAAGAGTTTTTTGTTGTTGTTGTGTTGTTTAAACTAGAAAAGAGATCGTTTCATATGTTTGCCTCATAAAAATTGCCTGTAGGGCTGGGAATGTAATGCATGCCTAGCATGCATGAAGCCCTGGGTTTGATTCTTCAATACCACATAAACAGAAAAAGCCACAAGTGGCTCAAGTGGTAGAGTGCTAGCCTTGAGCAAAAGAAGCTCAGGGACATCACCTAGGCCCGTAGTTCAAGCCCCAGGACTGGTTTAAAAAAAATTACCTGTATAGTTCCATGCTGTTAAATGTGACTATTATTATACAAAGGCTCTCCAAGCTTTTTAAAAAAATATCTAACACAGAAATGCTATGTAACTTTAAGCAACTATACCCCCATTCCCTCCAGATTCACCTTTCTCTCTTTTTTTTTTTTAAATAAAAGGCAGTATATTGCCTAAAAGTTGAACTGGGAAGATGAGCACCAGTGGCTCACACCTGTAATCTCATTCAGAAGGCTGAGATCTGAGAATCGAGGTTTGAAACCAGCCCTGGCAAGAAAAACCATGAGAAGCCGGGCGCTGGTAGCTCATGCCTGTAATCCTAGCTACTCAGGAGGCTGAGATCTGAGGATCGCGGTTCAAAGCCAGCCCGGGCAGGAGAGACCGTGAGACTCCTATCTCCAATAAACCACCAGAAAACCGGAAGTGGCGCTGGAGCTCAAGTGGTAGAGCTCGCCTTGAGCTGAAGAGCTGAGGGATAGTGCCCAGGCCTAGAGTTCAAGCCCCACGGCCGTCAAAAAAAAAAAAAAGAAAAACCATGAGATTCTTACCTCCAATTCACTTCAAAAAGCCAGAGGTAGAACTGTGGCTTAAGTGGTAGATCACTAGACTTGAGCAAAAAGAAGCTACGGGGCATAACCCAGGCCCTGAGTTCAAGCCCCAGGACCAGGGGGAAAAAAATCATTAGCTGGATGCCAGTAGCTTATCTATAGCCCTACTTCTTCAGGGGGCTGAGATCTGAAGTTAGCAGTTTGAAGTCAGCCTGGTCAGGAAAATCTTACCTCCAATTAACCACCAAAGCTGAAAGTGGAGTTGACTGAAGTGGTAGAGCACTAGGCCTGAAGCAAAAACCCTCAGGGCCAGGGCCCATGCTGTGAGTTCAAAATCCAGAACTGGCACATTAAAAAAAAAAATCCAGGCCAGGCGCTGGTGGCTCACACCTGTAATCCTAGCTACTCAGGAGGCTGAGATCTGAGGATCGCGGTTCAAAGCCAGCCCGGGCAGGAGAGACCGTGAGACTCCTATCTCCAATAAACCACCAGAAAACTGGAAGTGGCGCTGTAGCTCAAGTGGTAGAGCGCTCGCCTTGAGCTGAAGAGCTGAGGGACAGCGCCCAGGCCCAGAGTTCAAGCCCCACGGACGACCAAAAAAAGAAAAATCCAGGATAGAACCATTACTTAGGGCTGGCTAGAGGTTTGACTCTACAGTAGAGCCATGTGAGTTAAAACCCCGGGATCATCAGGCACTGGTGGCTCGTGCCAGTAATACTCTCAGGAGGCTGAGATATGACAATTGTGGTTCCAAGCCAGCCCAGGCAGGAAATCTGTAAGACTCTTACCTCCACTGAACCAACAGAAAACTGGAAGTGGAACACTGGCTCAAAGTGGTAGAGTACTAGCTTTTTTTTTCAGGGCTTGGGGGGAACCTAAGGGACAGTGCCCAAGTCCCAGCACCAATAAATAAAGAAACCCTAATGGTGGGCACTGGTGAGTCACTTCTGTAATCCAAGCTACTCAGGAAGCTGAGATCTGAGCTTAGTGATTCATAGCCAGTCTGGGCAGGAAAGTCCCTAAGACTCTTGTGTTCAATTAACCACCAAAAAAAAAAGCTGAAAGTAGGGACATGGCTCAATGGGTAGAGCACTAGCCTTGAGCAGAAAAGGTCAGGGACAGTGCCCAGGATCTGAGTTAAAGATCCATGATTGAATACATGAAAAACTTTTCCCCCCCTTAGAACCAAACAAGAACAAGCAAATGCCAAGAGGTCTAGGGCAGGGTGGAATATATGACTTTCACCCTGAACCTTCACTTGTTGCTCCTATCTTTGCTTGCATTCAGCTCACATCACTGGCTCTACAAGCTCAACTATGAAAAGTTTCAGAATATATAAAGGGTGATAGGATGAAGACAGTGAGAACAACCAATTGCTCTCATTCTGTCACACTCCCTTCTCAGTATCTCCACACACCCATCTGGATAATACAGCTAAGATAGCCATGGTTGAAAATATGGCATGTCTACTTCACATTTCTACTTATAACATTATTTAAAAATTTTAAGTGAAGCCATTCAGACAATATGCTTTGAAAGGAAGTGATCAGAGTCAAGGTAAAACAATTTGTACTTAAGTTACCCAGTCTGGTATTTACTGAGGCAGAAGTAGTATGAACACAGTCCTTATGTCCACCCTGTGGCTATCACCAAAAGTCTAGACAACTCTAAAACCAGAGTGACAACAGAAGCAGAGGGCTGTGAGAATAAAGACTCCTGCTCCCATTTAGAGGCCAGCCCAGCCTTTCTTGGAGGCAATTAAGCCACAACCATTAACTACATTTCCTTCCCAAGACCTTTGAAACAATCATAACTTTCTAATAAATAACTTCACTTCTATCATAATGTAGATCTACAATTTGTGTTTTCTGTCAAATACATTTATTGCCTACCTTTTAAATTCTAACAGAAACACCCAGAGCTGTAACTGAAAGCATGTGCACCTCCCCAGACCAGTCCTGCGCCTATTCTGTCATCCTTACACTAGGACATGCATATATTCTAGGAATGCATTATCTCCCCCATAAAACAAGCAGACAGATCGAGTTCTAAATTTTTTATTTTGCTAAAGTATAAAAACAATTATTTTCTAACGTGGTAGTGTTACAAAGCAAAAAGTAGGACACCAGGTGGCGATGTTGATATGCTTAGTTATAACAAGAAAAAATACTAAAATTAAATGAAAAGGTTATAAGAGTAAATAACACACACATACAAAAAGTCACCTGTTACCACCGGGTTATAACAGCATTAGAATAAACTCAAGAAGTAGGGACAAATTGGGTAACCTAAGGCATGACTATGAGGTTCCCGAGTCCCAAGAGTCTGTCCCATAGACGACAAGATGGGAGGAAAGCAGCAGCTCTAATCCACCTCCTCGATGGTGGGCCCAGAACCAGAGCCAGAGCCAGACCCCCCGGGGCCGCCCGCACCCTGCTGGTGAAGCCCGCTGAGAATGGGGCTACACACCTGCTCCAGCTCCTTCCTCTTGTGCTCCAACTCGTCCTTGTCGGCCAGGGTGTTGGCATCCAACCAGGAGAGCACCTCGTGGCACTTGTCCAGCACCTTGCTCTTGTCGGCCTGGGCGATCTTGCCCTGCAGGCCCGGCTCATCCACGGCGCTCTTCACCTGGAAGGCATAGGACTCCAGCGCGTTCCTGGCGGCCACGCGCTCGCGCTGCACCTGGTCCTCGGCCTTGTACCTCTCGGCCTCCTGCACCATGCGCTCGATGTCGTCCTTGCTGAGGCGGCCCTTGTCGTTGGTGATGGTGATGGTGTTGGCCTTGCCGGTGCTCTTGTCGGTGGCCGTGACGTGCAGGATGCCGTTGGCGTCGATGTCGAAGGTCACCTCGATCTGGGGCACACCGCGTGGCGCCGGCGGGATGCCGCTGAGCTCGAAGCGCCCCAGCAGGTTGTTGTCCCGCGTCATGGCCCTCTCGCCCTCGAACACCTGGATCAGCACCCCGGGCTGGTTGTCCGAGTAGGTGGTGAAGATCTGCGTCTGCTTGGTGGGGATGGTGGAGTTGCGCTTGATGAGCGGCGTCATCACGCCGCCCGCCGTCTCCAGCCCCAGCGACAGCGGCGCCACGTCCAGCAGCAGCAGGTCCTGCACCTTCTCCGACTTGTCGCCCATCAGGATGGCCGCCTGCACGGCCGCCCCGTAGGCCACCGCCTCGTCGGGGTTGATGCTCTTGTTGAGGTCGCGCCCGTGGAAGAAGTCCTGCAGCAGCTTCTGCACCTTGGGGATACGCGTGGAGCCGCCCACCAGCACCACGTCGTGGATCTGCGCCTTGTCCAGCTTGGCGTCGCGCAGCGCCTTCTCCACGGGCTCCAGCGTGCCGCGGAACAGGTCGGCGCACAGCTCCTCGAAGCGCGCCCGCGTCACCGACGTGTAGAAGTCGATGCCCTCGAACAGCGAGTCGATCTCCAGGCTGGCCTGCGTGCTGGACGACAGGGTCCTCTTGGCCCTCTCGCAGGCCGTGCGCAGCCGCCGCAGGGCGCGCTTGTTCTGGCTCAAGTCCTTCTTGTGCTTCCTCTTGAACTCCT